AAACTCATTTTATGATGCCAGAAATAAACAAAAAAAAAAAAAAAAAAAAAAAAAAAAAAAAAAAAAAAAAAAAAAAAACAAAAAAAAAAAAAAAAAAGAAGTAAAATGTGAGAGGAGCCACCAGGAGAGGAATGAGTAGAACAAGGGCTGGTGAGGGGGAAGCCAGGGGCAGGCAGCCAAGGAGACAGGAGAGTGAAGGCTGACTGACACTCACCCTCACAAAGCTGGCAGGAAACCATCCCTCCTCATCGTCGATCTGGCCCCACCACCAATCCTTGTTGGAAGCATCCAAGACTTTGATGACGTCGCCAGCCTTAAATGCCAACTCGGAATGAGTAGAACAAGGGCTGGTGAGGGGGAAGCCAGGGGCAGGCAGCCAAGGAGACAGGAGAGTGAAGGCTGACTGACACTCACCCTCACAAAGCTGGCAGGAAACCATCCCTCCTCATCGTCGATCTGGCCCCACCACCAATCCTTGTTGGAAGCATCCAAGACTTTGATGACGTCGCCAGCCTTAAATGCCAACTCCCGGTTGGCCATGGTGACGTGATCCCATACTGCCTCAGCACTAACGATGGAATCTCCAGTGATCAGCTTAGGAGACAAAACGAGAATGTTTTCAGTCCACAGAGCTGACTACCTTATTTGCCCCTTCCCCCGCCCATAGAACTCTACTACTTTATGGAAAAAGGCACATACTAGTGGTGAAGAGTAAGAGTGAGAGAGATAGCACTGGCAATTGCAGGCACCACAAGACAAACAATACTGTCAACTCTCCATTAGCCAGTGAGTAGAATGACCCAGAATGTGAATATGGACTACATAGACCTCATACTTTTATCCCTATGCATGATATCCTTCCCTAGGGAAGAAAGAAAGCTCCAGTCCATCTCTCCTTGGTGATTCAAGGCAGCCCTGGGTCTGCAATGGGTAGAGAGGAGGCTGAAATCACTGGCTAAAATGAAGCTGGAGCAAATTCGCTCTAAAGTCCTTGTGCTCCTCCCCTTTTCCTCCTTCTTACTAAAACTGACCAATTGAGAGTTGGTGGTACATTTTTAACACTGCTGTATCCCAGCCCCAGGGGTTACAGACCATGGCATTCCTCACACACAATGGACCCCAGTCCTGCAACCTTCTGTTCCCACCCACACATGATGTCATTCAGAGAGGTCATGGGTATGAAAGAATATGGCTTTCTGTGATGCCCTGCTTCCAAGAAACTCAGCCTTGGCACAGATTCACTCAGTGATTTGTACAATGACCCTGTGAGATACATAGGGAGGTCTAGGTTGATTTCTGCATTTGATAGGTGGCAAAACTGAGCAACAAGGAAGTTAAGGGCTCAGGGTCATTTAGCGAGGCACTGGTTGTAGTTGTACATTGATCTTAACCCTGGTCATTAGACTTTGTGGCCAGCAGGACTGAGTTCCACACAGCAGCAGGCAGACAACTATCTCTCTGCCACATAAACACACACACACACATACACACACACACACAAATGTTCGTGTTCACAACAATTATCCAAGCATAGTGATGAGGATGGGGGAGGGGAATAGTCTGCCTCTCTTGGGCTACCATCCTGACCAAAGTGTTATTTGTTCTCTTTTTTCCCAAATGTTTCCAGCCAGTATGGGCCACCAGTCTTCCTGGCATTTGGAGGAACAGATTCCAAAACAGAGAACATATGGCTTGTCAGGCAAAGGATTCAAACACTCTCCCCAGCACTGAATTGCTGAACATGTCCTCTATAAGTCAACTTTTCCATCAGTCTGCTTTTAGGAAGAATTGATTTCCCAAGACAATCATGATACCACAGACCAATGACAAAACAGTTCAAAGACAGCAGAGACAGGATATGGAACACACATTCTCTCACAGAGGTCTGCTTTCCAACACACTGGCTGGAGAATAACCCTATAGTCATAAGTTAAAATGCATAACACATAACACTCACACAAACATACATACTTTAAGTTAGTTAAGGAATTCTGTTGGTCAGCCCCTGCCTGATGCATCCTTCACTGCTTAGTGCTATAGCCATTGTGATTTCCACAGAAGGTAAGGCATAGAGGAAGTTCCTCAGCATGGATGTAAATGAGATATCCAACAGGGCCTTTTATAACACCACCTTTCAAGTACCTCAAGCTTTACTGTTTACAAAGTGTTTTCATATCTACTGCATCACTTGACCCTTACTAAATAAGCTGGATCTCGTTATTACTCATATTTAAAGATGAAGAAATTGAGATTCAAAGAGGTAGCCTGATCCTTGGCCAATCACGCAAGTAATAAATTATGGAGCCTTGTCTTCTGACTGCATATGCTCTAATAGCTATCATATCGTACTACCAATGTCTACTAATTAGCTATACTGAACTCACAGAACTCCATCCATTATGTAAACCAAATGGCTTTTATTTTTAAGAACCTCAAGTAATAAACAGCCACCTTTAGTCATGGGTACTCCTGCCTATGAGGAGATTCATTTTTAGGCTGAGCTTGCTTTCTTCCAAATGCTCTAAAAATCAATTTCTTCTTGTTTTGACCTCAGTGGAGAAAATTTTCTGGTTACTGATCTCAATAAAATAAATCTTTATAGAGAAGTCTCCCCTCTCCTGCCAAAGGTAGGTCCCAACTGGGTGTTGCTAGAGCTCAATAAGCACATACAGCACCAACTCAGAGCACCATGAGGGCTTGTAATTTAAAGCTATATCCTTTGCTTTTTATCAAGGATCAAAAGACTATATTGACATCAATTACTACCACCCTGCTCAAGATACTATCTGTGATGCTGTTTGAGGTCCCCTAGGTCCAGATCTGGCAGATTCTACTGCCTGTGCTCTTTCTACAGTGGAGTTTTCTTTTTAGGGACTCCATGCTTGGCTTTTCCCAGCAGCAGTGGCTCACTCTTGTCCCATTTAGTCCACATGACTTTCTTGGGCCCTTGGGTCAGAGAGCCCAGCTGTACCTTGGACAAAGCCAATCCAGGACCCAGTGGCCACAAACCATTATCAGGGCCCACTTCGAATCACTGATAGTCAGAACTGTACAGCACTGCAAAGATCATCACTCTTAAGCCCTCATTTTATAAATCAGGGATAATATAGCAAGAGTGGCTTGCCTATGATTGCCAGATGGCCAACCTCCTAGACCTCCCCCAGCCCACAACATACATAACACCATAGATAGAGAAGGTAGAAAAAGAACATCTGGATTTAAGACCTCGTTCTACTACTTGCTAAAGCTGTAATGATAATGGTGATGAAAGTAACTAATATAAAGTACTTAATATATGTCAGGAGCTATTCTAAGTACTTTACACACATTAACTCATTTAAGCCTTACAGCAGCCCTTTGAGGAAATACTATTGCTATCTTATGGATGAGGAAACTGAAGCTCAGAGAGGTTAAATAATTTGCCCAAATTTACACAGCCAGTAAGTATTGAAGCCATAATTAAAATGTAGGTACAGACTGGCTCTAGAGTTTCTGCTCTTATAAACTATGCTGTGTCTGGATCTCGGTTTCTTCACTCAATAAATGGGAATAATTCTATACTCCAACTTACTTCATGAGCCATAATAACACACTGAACCAACCAAGAGTTGACAGATGTGTGTGCATATGATGAAAAGAGGATTAATCCTGAAGGGGCTGGTAGCCGTATGGGGCTCCTGTGCTCTCTAGTCACAAATACAGGCAGGAATAACGGGAGAAATAGGCTCCTCCACTATGCTCTAATTTATTTTAAAAGTAAATTAAATTGGGGCTGGAAATTAGTTTTAAATCTCTTTTTTGTGTACAGGATTGATTTTTAACTTGTTACAATTATTCACATAAATATGCACTTTTCTCTGCTCATCCATTTTCCATCCAACACTCACTTAGTGAGCTCCCATTGGGTGCAGGGGTCTGCTTAATATATTTCAGCCACAGTTTTTACAAAGGCCCTTCATGTGGCAAGAGTAAATGTCCTTCAAGCAGTATGCAAAGGTGGTTAAGTACAGGCAAACCTAGCTTCAATTCTGGGCTTTGCTATTTTAGAAAGGGGAGTGAAGAATAGACAAGGAGCCAGAAAACAAACCAAAATGGAACTGCCATAATGCAGTTAGTATACCAAAAAGTACAATATCACAAAAGCCAAGAGCAAGAGTTTCAAGCTACATAACACTGGACCTTAGTTTCTGCATCTGTAAAATGGGGATAATAATACCTGCCTCACAGACAAGATTAAAGACAGAGCGAACTGAGTGCTAGATGTTCAGTGCCTAGTACAGTGCCTGGTATATACTGGCCTAGTACAAGACTTCAGAGGAAGGAAGGATCATATGTAGCTACTTGGCTTAGAACAGTTTTGTGGGGTACTGAAGTTAGGTCTTAAAGAATGAGTAGGATTGTAACAGAGAAGGAAGTAGGAAAGGCATTTGAGGAAGAGGATTGAGATTAAATAAAGTCCCAGAGGTGAAGACTATGGGGAATTTGATGGCAAACAAGCAGTGGAGTTGGAAAGGGCTGGGGAAGGGGAGTCTGATAGTGAGTGGAAAGACAGCTGGAAGGGTGGGCTGGAGTCTTTCTGAAGGTTCTTAAATCTAGTTTGAGGAAAATTAGTAGGTCAGAGTTGATTTGGCAAAGGGGGAAGATTCAGTCCTAAGTGTGATCGCTAAAGCATTAAAGCATGAAAGTAAGTTATGAGGAAATGCTGGTTTTGGAGGGGGAGAAAAGATGACAAATACTCTTTAATGTGTTGAATGTAGGGGCCCAGAAGGACATTCAGATAGATTTGAAGATCAAGAAAGGTTAGAGGAGACAGTTATACAGGTTTGGGAATCAATGGCCCAGAAAAAAAATTGTATAAACCAAGAAAGTGCTTAGAAAGAAGGCCAGAAACCTAAGGGAACAGCAACAACTGGAGATGAGGACAAGAAGAGGAGCCAGAGAAACAAAACAAAATGGAGCTGTCAGCACATAATTAGAATATCAAGAAGTACAATCTTGCAAAAGCCAAGGACAAGAATTTCAAGCAGTAGGAGCTGATCAAATTATCAAATGGTACAAAGCTATAACAGAGGAAAGCCAAGAAAAGGCCAGTTGGGAGTTGCTCTATCAGAGGTTAAATTCTTTATTTCTTAAACTGGTTTATACTCCTACATGCACACACCAAAAGCCCTACTTTCCCATCTATGTCCACCCCTTCATCCTGCAAGCCCAACATAAAACCAGAATATAGAACTAGGTTACTCTAGCAAGGTACCCAAATAGCTCTTGGCCTTGGGACTGCACTGCTGTGACTTCTAACAAAATAATCCCCAATCCCCAGAACATATCAGGTGCAGCACCAAATATAGGTTTGCTCTTGCTCACACTTGCCAGTGAGTGGGACATACAGTATTCTGCACTCTCATGCCAAAGACACTTTTGTGGATGAATAAGGTGGGGAGGGAGAAGAATCATAATTCATATTGAAGTAATGAGATTCTATTCCTTTTTACTTAGATTTCCCAAGACAATCCTTATTTCAAATGTTCTGTGTGATTGTTTCTACAAATATATACATCTATTTTCAGACCCACGTGCCCTGACTTTTAA